AGGAATTCGGGCGCAGGGTGGAGCTAGTTGGCAGACCTGGCCTTCAGAGACAATGTCACGACTTGGGGTCGGTTTTGCTGAGATTTGAAAGATATTTTACAGTTCATTTTCAGAAACCAGACCTGTAGTGGGTTATGGCGCTTGCGCCCGTGAAATTTTCCAGGCCCGTAGGTGCAGTATTACTATCAAAACACTTGGAGGAACCGACTGTGTTCCGAGCCATCTTGACACGCGTTGACGGTTTCCTGTGCTTAACTCGAGATTTAGGAGAGCTACAGCGCTGATACTTATTGAGAGCGATCCAGAATCATCAGGCGCGTTCGTCTGTTGCATCGAGAGGTCTGAACTCGGTCTGCTGCTCGAGCTAGGTCCGGAAAGCTATTCGTATTCTTCGAGTCATTTTGACAAGTGCTGTCGGTTTTCTGTACTTAACTCAAGATTCAGAATAGCTGCAGAGCCGGTGCGCACATAAACGGATGCAGTATCATCAGGCGCGTTCGTCTGTTGCATCGAGCGGTCTGAACTCGCTCTGCTACTCGAGCTAGGTCCGCAAAACTATTCGTATTCTTCAAGTTCTCCTTACAGGCGCTGTCGGTCTTCTGTACTTAACTGAAGCTGCAGCATAGTTACAGAGCTGATACGCACAGAAACCGATCCAGAATCATCAGGGGCGTTCGGCTGGAGCATCTAGAGCTCTGAACACAGTCTGCTACTCGAGCTAGGTCCGCAAAACTACTCGTATGCGACCGATTTTTTTGCGCACTGTTTTTTTTTTTACTTACCTCGAGCTACAGATGAGCTCGAGAGCTCTTCCGCACAGAAATCTTAAACACATTTTCCTTAATGTGTTCTGGGCAGCGCCGCACGAGAAAGGAGCTCTACGAGGCTCCAGGCGGTAACCTGGTTGACGGCTTACCGCCGGCTCCCAGTTGGCAGACCCGACGTTAAGAGACAATGTGACGACTTGGGCTCGGTTTTGCTGAGATTTGAAAGATATTTGACAGTTCATTTCTAGAGGCCGGATTTTTCGCACCTGTAGTGGGTTATGACGCTTGTGCCTGTGAAATTTTCAGGTCCGTCGGTGCAGTATTACAATCAAAACACTTGGAGGAACCGGCTGTGTTCCGAACCATCTTGACACGTGTTGACGGTTTCCTATTTGATCTCCTCCCGTGCGAAACTCAAGACATACATTATTTATATATGGCTCATCAGGCCCGCCAGAGCCATGTGTACGCCGATTTCTCTTTGCCTTATCAAAGCGGGCTTTGATGGGGGTGTATGCGGCCGCGGAAGTGCCTGTGGTGTGTGGATGCAATTCGGTCTGCGGAATAGGTATATCTTCTACAACGATGTTTATCTTGCAGCCTGGTGTCTCCCACCATGTGCCACGGTGGCAGATGCAGAGTTATCAGCGGCGGAGCGCATCTGCGATGTTCTCCCACAGGTTGTGCAGAAATTCTTCGGTCATTCGCTTGTTTATATCGCACTCGGCTGGTCTCATTTTCTCATTTCCCTTATATTTCTATCCACACAGCTCCGCTGTTCTGTCTGATCTTTTGTTATTGGGTTTTGAATGTGCATCTTGCGTTTGATTGTTGTCTTCGCATGGTTCTGATTCTTTTTATTCCAACAGCTCCGCTGATGTGAAATAAGAGCTGACTGCTTGCTTGACAAATAAGAGGCTTCGCTTCGCCTGAGACTTCGTTGGACCTGGCCTCACTGGCCATGATGGTCCCAGCAAAGACGCAAGCAACAAAAACCTGGTTGACGGCTTGCCGCCGGCTCCCAGTTGGCCGACCCGGCCAGAACGGACAATGTGACGACCTGGGGTCGGCTTCGTTTTGAGAATGCAGATTTTGTTCCCTGCAATCGATCATGGCGCGTTTCATGGTGCAATTCTCAGGGCTCTTGGTGCAGTATCTCGATCAAAACACTTGCCGGAACCGTCGGTCGTCGAGACGTATTTTTCGAGATGATGCCGGTTTTTTGAATGCAACTCAAGGCAGAAGCAAGCTACATAGCTCTCGCTTCAACGGCAGGAGTATACCTCGCAGAGCTCTTCGACGAGATGAGCTAAGAGGACATCAGGCGTGGGGTGGAGCTAGTTGGCCGACCCGGCCAGAACGGACAATGTGGTGACCTGGGGTATGTTTTTTGAAGATTGTGAGAGATTTGAAGTTTCGTTTTGAGAATCCATCGAGATGATGCCGGTTTTGTGAATGCAACTCAAGGCAGAAGCATACTACAAAGCTCTGGCTTCAACTGCAATAGTATACCTCGTAGAGCTCTTCGACGAGACGAGCTAAGAGGAATTCGCGCGCGGGGTGGAGCTAATTGGCCGACCTGGCCAGAACGGACAATGTGGTGACCTGGGGTATGTTTTTGGAAGATTCTGAGAGTTGAGATTTCGTTTTGAAAATCCAGATTTCTGTTTCCTGTCCTCGATCATGGCGCGTCCCATGGTGCAATTCTCAGGGCTGTAGGTGCAGTACTTCAACCAAAACATTTGGAGCAACCGACGTCGTGAAAAACCCCATTTGCGTGTTCAGAGCCTACGAGGGTCATGGCAGTCTCGAAGAGATCATTGAGATGAAACATTGAGGTTTCGTTGAAGGCAGTGAGACATTCAAGTCAACTTCAATGCAATGAGACGCAGGTGTCAAGTTCAAGTCAAATTCGATGCAAAGAGACATTCAATTCAAAGTTCAAGTTTGTTCCGATCGAGGAGGTGGCGCTTGGCCTGGATCCGCCGTCTTCCGTGCTACATCGTGTGTCTGTACTCTGCTCAATTCATGCATGTTGTGATTGATTCTTGGTCTGTGACGCTCTCTCTCGTTGCTCTCCGCTTCGTTTGTAGCGGCGACGTGAGGTGTGTATAGCGGCCCATTGTGAATCATTGACTATTTCGCGATTCGGCTAATTATAGATGCAGAAGCATATCCCATAGATGTAGAAGCATTCCCTAGAAGACTCTCGGTCTCGTTTGGAGTGCCATTCTTCCTTTTGGCTTGTTACTTGGTTCCTCAGAGTAGGTCACTCGTAGCTCTGATCGACAGTGCAGTTGACTCAAAGCAGGTCGCTTGTATGTGATCGTCGTTTTTCCTTGCTCTTTGGAGCCTGCTCGCTGCCCCATGAGGGCCTGCATAGCGAGGACCGCAAGCCGCAAAAAACCTGGTTGACGGTTTACCGCGGGCTCCCAGTCGATGAGCTAGAGAAATTCTGGCACGGGGTGGGGCTTGTTGGCCCACCCGGCCCGGGCGGACAATGTGACGACCTGGCGTCGCTTTTTCGAAGATTTTGAGAGATTTGAATATTCGTATTGGAAATTCAGATTTTTATTCTCTGCAGTCGATCATTGCGCGTTTCATGGTGCAATTCTCAGGGCTGTAGGTGCAGTATTTCGATCAAAAGACTAGGGGGAACCGATGTCGTACACAAACCCAACAAATACATTTTGCGAGTTGTCAAGCTCACATTCGAGAATGCTCTCTCCTCGTTATCTGGGCGCTGTTTTGCGTGTTGAGAGCTCTACGAGGGTCCCGGCGGTAGCCTGGTTGACGGCTTACCGCCGGCTCCCAGTTGGCCGACCGGGCCAAAACGGACAATGTGTTTTTTGGGGTCGGTTTGTCGAAGATTGTGAGAGATTTGAGAATTTGTTCTGAGAATCCAGATTTTTGTTCCCTGCAGTCGATCATGGCGCGTTCGATGGTGCAATTCTCAGGACTCTAGGTTCCGTATTCCGATCATAACATTTGGAGGAAAGGTCGGTCGTCGAGACGTTTTTTTCGAGATGATGCCGGTTTTCGAGATGATGCATTTTGCGATTTTCCAAGCTGAGATTTGGGAACGCTATCTTATCGTTATCTCGGTGCTGATTTGCGTGTTCAGAGCTCTACGAGGTTCCCGGCGGTAACCTGGATTCGGTACACGGGACGTGGCAGTTGGTGGCGGAGGAAGCTGTCTCGCTTGATGCCTCTGCTTCTGTCATGTTTTGTGAGATGATTGCAGCACAACGGCTCTGTATGGCCGTGGAGCACATTTTGGGTAGCATCTTTCATCCAAGCAGCTGACTCACTTCATCTTGCTTGGAGCTCTCCAACACCTTTACATTTTCACATGTTGTATTGCATCCTTTTCCTTGTTCCTGCATCCTATTCCGTTGCCTATGCCTCAGTGGCTCGGCAGTGTGATGATAAGAGTTGCCCTCTCCAGCTACCCTGTGCTCCGTTTGGGAGTCTTAGGGCTCAGCTGTCACAGCTGTCCGCGCCCTGACTCAAACTCAAACTCAAAAACCTGGATTCTTCGACGGAGGTCGCTCTGTGGAGGGATGTGCTGCAGAAGGGTGTTTAGGTTTGTGTGTACACGGGACGTGGCTGTTCGTGGCGGAGGAAGCTTTCTCGCTTGATGCCTCTGCTTCTGTCGTGTTCTGTGTGACGTTTGCAGCGCAACGGCTCTGTATGGCCGTGGTGCACGTTTTGGGTAGCCTCTTTCATCTCTAACCTGTTCCTACACCTTTGCAATTTCACATGTCGTGCTGCATCCTTTTCCTTGTTCCTGCATCCTATTCCGATGCCTATGCCTCAGTGGCTCGGCAGTGTGATGATAAGAGATGCCTTCTCTAGCTACCCTATGCTCCGTTTGGGAGTCTTAGGGCTCAGCTGTCACAGCTGTCCGCGCCCTGACTCAAACTCAAAAACCTGGTTCGGCTCAAGAACGTCTCTGCCTGGGTAACCTCCAGACGTTCTAGCGGGCCACTGCCTCGGGAAGTGAGACTGGACGAAGGGCCGCGAGGCCTGGGCGATCCTGGGATCCCCCGTGGCTTTTTGTCTGCATACATTACCTCTCTGTGTATTGTACGCTGAATTCTTCGTCGTGGTATTGAGTGAATTTCTTGACAACGTCGTACGACAGTCCTGATGCCCAGCAGGCCTTGAGGAGAGAGATTGGTCTTGAACGCTGGGGAGAAAGTGCTGTCGAGTGGTTTCGCCGTCAAAAGTATGGATATACCGACAGAGGATTATCAGGTCGAGAGGATCAAGTTCGACTATCTTGAGGAATATCAATCTTGGGATCAGAAAAATTTGCAGGCATGGGAGGCTGCTTCGAACAAACGACAACGAGAATACGATAAGAATTGGTTGGACAAATACGGTTTGGACGGAGGAATTCTTGAACATATGATTCATGTTGGTGGACTTGCAGCGATTGATACCGAGATGACAAGTATGAATGAGACTCGATCGAAACGTGCTCTAGGGCAAGAGATTGAACAGGAGAGAAGTCTGCTGCTGGCGCAGGAGAAGGATCCTTTCAAACAGATGATGATGAAACGTGTTTGGAAAACGGAGGATGCACACGAGGATCTCATTCATGTCGTTCAATCGACGAAGACCGACATCAAACGAGTAGGTGACGCACTGCAGTCACATGCGGAAGGGATGGACACAACGGATGCACGTACGGATAATATTGGAAAAACAAGTTAAACAAATCTTAGCTGGATCTCCCGCAGCCTCGGTCTCGACAAGTGTTGGCCCAGTCGGAACCTCTGCAGATGGTGGTGGTGGTACGGCCCCTCGTTATCAACAGGATAGGCCGAGCCAGCTTAAGCCATCTTATCTTGAACTCAAAGGGTGGGTTACGGACTGGTCTAATCAAGTTAATCGGGGAAACCAAATGATACCCTGGGCGGGTGCATCACAACTGATATCGAATATGATGGGAACACTTCAAGGAGGAGGAACGAAATGCGTATGAGAAAGACAAAACTGATATATTAAACGGAGGACGGTATATGTATGGTAGTGTGAAGATCGGTTTCAAGGACGGAACATCACGGGACACTCTCTGGATAAGCAAGAAATGGACTGGCATGATTTGGAAGGGCCCAGCCGACCGTCTTGCTCCGCCTCCAGGTTATACATATCCAGTTGCTGATGTTCTCATTCAAAATATAGACACGCCCATTGATCCCAAGAGGATTCGTACGCTGGTGGAGTGTGCCCCCTGGAAGCGTGATGATGTTAAAGCGGTGGCTCGTTTGTGTGGGACTTGGCGTAGTTTGACATCAGCCCATGTTCAAATCGAGATCCGTGGGGGAATGGGGCCACCTAGGAGTCAGATTTGGACTCAAGCTGTTCCGAGCCTCCGTCCTGTTTGTTTTGCGACGTATACGAACACCACTGGGGCCTGAGTTTTGCATGCCGATGCTTGGGCCAGACTTGTGTCTATTTATCCTGCTTTGACGGTCCCGATGGATGCGGTACTCCAGGAGGTGAATCGTGGGCAGTGGCGTTTACGGCGCCTCGTCCGAGGCATGCGTTTCGGGAGCTGGAACCTGAACAAAGCAGGTGAGGCTCACTTTAACTGTGCTGAGATTCTTCATCATATGAGGGCATGTGGTGGGCTCTTTGCGTGCCAGGAAACTCAGTACCTTGTGCAAAGTGAATTTGAACGCTTGGGGTGGCGTATTCAAGCTAGTTCGTGTAGCAAAGCAGCTCTCATCTTCGACAGATCTTGGGCGGCTGCCGCTCGTATGTTCTTCACATGTTTCAACAGGTTTGTTTTCGGCGTCTTTGGGTAAATCACCACTCATTATTACTTCAGCGTGTTTGCCAGATCCTCATGTGGAGGAGTGTGTTGAGATAGCCATGGAAGTCTATGAGCAGATCACTCGTGCTCGCGACGGACTCCGTGCCCAGTTTCCTCAGGCCAGCTTTTGTGTTCTGCTTTATGCCAACGTGGAGTTTCCGCCTGGCTGCAAGCTTGTATGTAATGGGGAGGGGTCTGAGGCTACATGAAAGTAGGGTACTCGTACGGGCAGAAAGTGGGTTGCAGCTCACTCGGGCCGAGGAGGGGGTTCATGCGTGTTCGAAGGGGGAGGTCCAGATGCTTAAGAAGTTAAACAACGAGGCCAATCGTCTTCGCAGAGGTTATCGACGTGATATGATTACATGCAGATGTCCCCAGACAAAACGAAGGGCCATATCTATTATTGAACATTTGGGGGTGGATGGGAGGGGGGGGGACGGAGGATCGCGAGGGGCGGAAGGAGGAGATCGACAGGTTTGTTCGGGCCAAGGTTTCGTCGGAGGAGGTGCGCAGTTCCGCAAATACTATGACGGAGGAGATCAGAATGAGGGCTGAACATGAAGCACCATCCACATCAGTTGTGGGTATTAGCAGGGCACTGCTTCTCCGAGCACGGGCTCGATTGAAGACCCAGAGGGCTACTGGGCCAGACGGGATTCTGTGTGAGATTCTCAGGAGTTTGCCGTGGTGTACTCCCAGATCGATCCAGCAGCTGTGCGATAAAACCATCAAGCCCATGGTTCCTTATCCACAGTCGTGGCGTCAGATCCTCATCTTCTATGCCTAAGGTTCCAGGGGTTACGAAGCTAAAATATGGTCGTTTGCTTTTGGTGCAGAATGCGGTGTCCAGATGGTTCAGTTCCTGTATTGTTCTTCTGGTTGAAGGTCATGTTGAGAGAGAGAGAGAGAGAGAGAGAGAGAGAGAGATATGTGTTTTTCGTCATGTTGGGTTGTATGGGTTCCAGGAGCATCGACGTACACACGAAATTTGGCTAATCCCAAACACACCGGACAACATGCTGCTAACTGGGGAAAACGGGAAACGGCACACCTGGCGAACGCGGACGTCCTCCAGGCGTGCGACCACTGCATGGTGGCCAATGTCAGGCGTGGGTTGGATCATGCTGATGTGCCCTTGTATCTACAGTATGCTCTACTAGATCCCCTGTGTGGGTGTGTTGGTAGTGCTTATTATGATGGGATTGAGGTGTTGGGGGTGGAGTGGGACAAGTGTATTCGGACGGGGGGGGGCTGATGGCCCATTGGCTTTTAATCTTATCGTTGCCGCTATGTGGAGTTCTACATTTCGAGAATGGGATGTGCTAGGTATAGGCTATCGTATTGAGTTTGCTACATGTTCGACTAGCTGTGTTTCGGCTATTAATCACTTCCTTTGGGCAGATAACTGCTATGTTCTGGCTCGGAGTCGGGAGGAGCTCACTCGCATGCTACGCGGCCGAACTATGCATTTACATGAATACAGTATGAGATGGAAGGCGTCCAGTCTATTGTACATATTGTTCGGTGCTGCTCCTCCGCGTGACGTTGAAGGGGAAATGCTACTGCCAGCGGATCTTGTTCTTTCGATGGGGACAGAAAGCTCTGGAGTTTATCGTTTCAGGAGAGTGAAGGAGATGGAGGTACTTGGGGCTCATATTTGTTTTGAACTACATGTGAACGGGCACCCAGATCTGGGTGCGAGTATTGACTTGGCTCGGATGGCCTTCTGGGGCCGGGCGTCCTTCTTCCGCTCCACGGCCATTCCGTTGAAAGATAAGTACGAGAGATACGCACATAGAGTTCAGAGTATCTTGCTTTATGTTGCAGAAGGTTGCACTGTTGATTCTTATTCCTTGGGAGCTTTGCATAGCTTTGAAGGTGAATGTTTGGCTGTCATGTGTCATTGTGTACGGAGGGAGGAGGGCAGTTATCAGGGGTGGAATACGAGGAGGTATGAAAGGGCAAGGCACGAGTTTCATGATGCACAGTATGCGAGTATTGTACAGAAGTTCCTCCGTGTGCACTGGCTGTGGCCTATTGACGTTGCCGATTTTGCCCACGAGCTGCTCACGAATCAGGAGGCGCTCGAGACAAATTCGACACGAGCGTGGGGGGGCTCTCGTTTCACCTGCCTGGCGTTTGGCCGGCTGTGGGATAGAAAGAGAACTGATTCAAGCGAGGCTCTCAGATGTCTGGGGAAATGGAAGGAGGCCAGCTCATTAAAACGACGTCGTGGGGGACAGGAGAGTGTCGGTCTTCGTTCGTGGTATCGCTCTTTGGAATCGTTTTGCGGTCTCTCCTGGTGGGAATCGTTCGTCGGGGGCTTCGAACACTTCATGGGCTATGCCGCACATGTATGTTTCAACAGTATGTTGACGTACTTCCAGAAGAAATGCAAAGGATTGGCGTCTTCGGGGGTGCTTGTATTCTTGAATGCTGATGAGGATGGGGGGTTCATATCGGGCAGGATCGGGAGGACACACCTGCATATAAGGAACGACTTGGCAGACGTATTGCGTTGCATAACATGCGTTGTACACAATGGGACCTCGAAACGGGAGGGATACCATTAGACGTCCAAGGGGGCTTCCTATTAGTGGTCAACTGGCTGTGCGGGAAATGGAAAGTACTATCTCAGGTGTATCAAAGACGGGTAGACATTCTGATCCATGCGCTGGACGGCACGCAGAGTATGTATTCTGTGAGGCCTCCAGAGGCTGGCCGAGATTTCTTCTCTCATTTCTTTCGTGCATGGAACCAAAGGGCTGACTTGCTGACTCATCAGGCCCGCCAGGGCCAAGTGTACGCCGATTTCTTTTACCTCAGTGATTTCGAATCTCAGTGTTTTACTCCTTGCCTCATCAAAGCTGGCTTTTATGGGGGTCTGTGCAGCCGCGGGAGTTTCTGTGGCGCGTGGATGCAGATTGGCCTGCGAAATAAGTACATCTCCTCGCGGACTGACTTCACCTATAAGGATGTGTATCTCGCAGCATGGTGCCTACCACCAAGTGCCACGGTGACAGATGCTTAGTTATCAGTGGCGGAGCGCATCTGCGATGTGCTCCCACAGTTTGTGCAGAACTTCTTTGGTCACTCGCATGTTTAAGTCACACTCGGCTGGTTTCTTGCTCATACTCATCCCTTGTATATTCTAACAACTTCGCTGTTTTGGTTGATCTTGGTATCGTCTTGAGTGTGCTTCTTCGTTTGATTGTTGTCTTCGCGTGCTTCTGATTCTCTTTGTTCCAACAGCTTCGCCGATGTGAAATAAGAGCTGACCGCTTGCGTGACTCATAAGAGGCTTCGCTTCGCCTGAGACTTCGTTGGACCTGGCCTCAGTGGCCAAGACGGTCCCAGCAAAGACGCAAAAAACCTGGTTGACGGTTTACCGCCGGCTCCCAGGGGGTTCTGCCGCGTCTGCCTGTCAAATTCTCAGGTCCAGAGCTGCAGTATTACTATCAAAACACTTGACGGAACCGACTTCGTGTAAGATCCAACAAACAGATTTTGCAAGTTTTTAAGCTGAGTTTCGAGGAAGCTTTCCCTCTAGTGTAGGCGCTTATTCGCGTTTTCAGCTCTACGAGAGTTCGGGTGGTAATCTGGTTGACAGTTTACCGCCGGCTGCCAGTCTGCCGTGAACCTGTTCTCTTCCGTGCACAGTCATACTTTGAGACGTGACGAATGCAACCGCGACGACGCCATTGCAAACGAATTGCTAAGTGACTCGTAGAGCTTCCCTAAGAGCGAAGCGGCGAAGCTAGAGAGTATTTCCGGCGCGCTGGGAGCCAGTTGGCCCGAAAAATCTCGACCGAAGTGACTCGGTGAGCTTTTCTCACAGCGAAGCGGCGAAGCTGGAGAGTAATGCTGATTGTGGGGCTGTCCCACGTTCTACATATTTGCTTTATTGGGCGCCCGATGTCCTGGGCGAGGGAGTCGAAACGAGCTCCCGAGGCAGTTCAGGGAAAGGTTCGAGTCCTATTTCGTCCGGCGGATCCTCAGCCTCCCGAGAGGAGGTGGGTGGCCACCGCGCGAAAGAGGCGTGGCCAAACTCCCTTGCCTATCCAGCTCGAGCACGCTCAGGGGGGGGCCTTTCGCGTGGACTCAGGCGGCGCGACCTCGGAGGAGGATGGAGGTCCGCTCATGCAGAACGGGTTCTGAAGCGCAAGCAGCACCTTACGAATATGACCGAGGTGCCAGGTATGCAGCGCGTTTTGGTTCTATAACGAAGCTCGGGCGGCGAGTGAAATCGCTGCGACGGTCTTCTTCCTTCCCCGCCTCGGCAAGCTGGGCGACATCTCGGTGCCGAGGTCCTGGAGGGCGGCCAGGGGCTGGGCCAAGCTGGTTCCGCCTCGCAGGCGTCCACCGCTCGCTTGGTCGACAGTGCCTGCCCTAGCCTTGCTTTTAGCTGGGGCGGGCCACCTGGACGTGGGAGTCTGGGTCATCATCTCGTTCGGCACCTACCTCAGTCCAGGCTCTAGGGTGCTGCTCGCGAGAGGGTTGCTGGTGGCGCCCACCCTGAAGGTCGACTACCCCTGACGTATGCTGATCCACCGTTACGACTTTCTCCAGGTCTCGAAGATTGGCGCTCAAGACGATACAAACCCGTGGGGCGCCAATGGGCTCGAGTGGATGAAAGATGTGTTCCAGGTGCTGGCAGTTGGCAAGCACAAGCGAGAAACTGTGGAACTTGTAAGAGATCAGAAAGCAAGGGCCTTGGCTGGGGTAGGATATCGTTTCGTACCAACTTTGGCATGCTGGAGCCTGGTGGGACACCTACCGAAAGTACTGTCTCCTTTTTGATGTGCGGCGCCGAGGTGGATGGATGCCGGCGAAGTCTGTTCAGCGCTATGAGAAATCTGGCATGCTGATGAAAGGCTACGCTATCCTATCTTGACGCTGCGGACGTACATGGAGGAACAGGTGCTCGACTCGAAGGATGTCTTTTTGCAGGCCAAAGACGTCCCGTAGCCTCCTGCGCGTCCGTTGGAAACTTCAGCAAGCGAATCCCCAACCTTCCATGTGCGTCAAAGTAGGCTACACATGTGATGTGCGTGTGATCTGGGGGAGGAGCACCCAGAGCCTTCCCCAAGCATAGCATGTGCGAGCTGTCTCAGTGTGGCGCTGCTGGCATCAGATCCGAACGAACTGAAAACAGAGCGGGTGGGGATCATGTGAGTTGTGCGTGATTGATCTGAGCACGCTCGTACTTTGTTTTTTTTCCAGCTCCCCGTTGCCTACGAAGCGCCATTTTGTTTCTTTCATATCGGGGGGGAGGAGCGCCGAGAGCCTTCCCCACGCATAGCATGTGCAAACAGTCTCTGTGTGGCGCTGCTGGCATCAGATTCTACAGAATTGGAAACAGAGTTGGCGGGGATCAGTCTCCTCATCGGAGCTCTGCTCTTCATCGGATCTCTCAATGCCCATTCGAAGTTCGTATGCTTTGAGCGCCGCCTTTCTATCGAGGAAGTCCCGTTGCGGGATTCCTTTCTCTTCGCGCCGCACAGCCGCTGCATCCACTGTCGCGAGGGCCCAGTCCTTGGCAGCCCAGCCCTGATAAGCCGCAACTGAATCGGATGTGCAGCCTGCAACATGAGTCGAGCAGGAGCCCGCAACTGGTTATTAAATGGGGCCTGCAGCTGGACGTAGTCTGGAACCAACAACCGCTGGAGCTGCAACTGGATGCGCACTGAAGCTCACAATCGTTGAAATCGAAGCAGCAATCATAAGTGAAATAGAAGCCGCAACTGGATGTGCGCTGGAAACCACAACTAGACTTGGGGCTGCAACTGGAGTTGAAACAGAAGCTGTCGCTGCATGCGTGCTGGCACCCACAGCTGCTGAAACTGACATCGAGTGTGCTGGAGTCCGCGCGCGTTGAAGCAGAAGCTGCAACCGGAGTTGAACTGGAAGCCACATCCACAATGTTCTGCGGGATCGTTTTTCCCGCAGTATCTACATGCGTCTGTCGAAGAGATGGGATCAATCGATGTCGAAACAATTTTCGACTGGCAAGTCCATTTGGGATCGCTGGGTGTCGCGACGGGTACATCGCGTGGCCGAAGAAACTCCAGGACCCCGTCAGCGGTCGTCCGTCCCAGTCCTGGTGGCGGAGTGAGCGTGCACTCCTGTCCTTCCCAAACATCATGCATAAGAGAAAGCCCAACTACATCATATGCAGTTTTGTTGAGAGTATCGAGTTCCAGTCTTCCTCAATACTTCGTCGTGGAGCGAGAAGGAGGCAGCAATGCGTCGAGAGAGATGCGCGCCGTGGTGGCGCCGCGCAAATCGAGGGCGAGGGGTGCATAACGTACGATGTATCGCAAGAGTCGCAATCATATGCAAGACTGTATCGATGCAGAGTACAAAACCAGGCAACGCGTGGCACGTGTGTATACTGGGCCGGACAGGCACCCAGCGACCTTGCGCGAGCCCCCGGGCGGCAGGCCCCTGGCAGCGAGGCCCCGAGGAGGGGCGCAACCAAAGTTTCCGCTGGGGAACTCGTAGAGCTTCTGTTCGAGCACAGACGCCTCTACAACTGGTCGCCACAGCGAATGCTTTGAACATGTGTCAATCATAGCTCGAGAAAGGGCCCGATCGATTTCTGTCGCCGAGTGCTCTGCAGCTGCTCTGCAACTCGAGATCAAGTCCTCAGGCAGAGCGCGCGCCAAACAATTTGCAGAGTGCGAGTGTTTGTTCTGTCATAGCTCGGGTAGGAGACCGAGCTCAGGCCTCGGGGGGCTCTAGACTAATGCCTTCGATGCTGTTGTGAATATATTGTTGTGAGCAAGAACTCTGTAGCTGCCCTGCATGTCGAGATCGCCAACCAACCGACTGCGCGCCGAAAACATGTAGAGTGCGAGTAGTCTTTCCGTCGCGGCCCCAGTAGGGGATTTTCTGGCCCATCGAGCCTCCAGACCAATGCTTTCGATGCTGCTGGATCGACCGATCAGCTTAAGAGCTCTGTAGCCACTGTGAATCTCGAGATCAACTACGTATTCCGAACGCTTGCAAAACAATTGCAGAGTGCGAGTAGTGTTTCGGTCTTAACTCGGGAAGAAGACCGAGCTCCTACATCTCGAGACTTTGGATCAAGCCATGTCGATGCTGCTCAAGCGATTGGTGTGAGTACGAGTTCTGTATCTGCTCTACATCTCGAGATCAAATCCGCAAGCCGAACGTGTGCCAAACGCATGTCGGAAAGTGCGAGTCGTTTTTCGGTTATGGCTCGAGTACGAGACTGAACGCAGGCCTCTCGAGGCTCCATATATCAATGCTTCCGATGCTGCTGAGGTCTGTGGCTGCTCTAAGTCTCGAGATCGATTCCGTAAACCGAACTTGAGAAAGCAACATGCTGCAGAGTGCGATCAGTGTTTCGTTCCTAACTCGGGTAGGAAACCGAGCTCAGGCATCTCGAGGCCCCAGACCAGTCCTTCGGATGCTGCTGCATCGATTTGGTGTGGCCAAGAGCTTTGTAGCTGCTAAATCTCAAGATCCAATGCGTCAGCCGAACGTGTGCAACAAAACTGTTGGAGAGTGCGAATCTTTTTTCGGTTATAGCTCGTGTAAGAGTCAG